CAATGATTCCTAAATTGCTAATCCTAGTTATTTCTCCAAACTCCACGTTTATATATCTTGTTATCTACTAATTATCTCTACTTGGAAGCCTAATTGGCATTTCAAATATTAAAATTCCCGAATATTCCAGACCTTCCCACCTAATGCTCCCAAACCTGCTCCTCCCAAAGTCTTACACATGTCAGTAATTGGTAACATCTTTCTTCCCATAGCCATGGAGCTATCTTTGATTTTTCTCTTTTTCTCCCACATCCACATCCAACCAATCAGTAACTTGTTCAAAATGTATCCAGAATCCTATCACTTCACATCTCCAACACCATCACTTTGGAACCAGCTACCATTTTCTCTTGGCTGGATAATTATTGAGTAGTTTTCTAACTGGTCTCCCTGCTTCCTCCACTCTTTGCTACCTTATAGATGATTCTTAACAGAGCAGTGAATGTGAGCTTCGAAGAATTAAGTAACAGGATATTACTCCCTGACTCAAAGCCTTCCAATGACTTCCCATCTTACTCAGAATCAAAGTCAAACTCCTCACCACTGCCTAGAAGGGGCTCCATGTAATCTGGCCTCCACTACTTTTGTGCACTCTTCCCTTCTCTCCATTGTCCTCACTCAGTTTCAGCCACACCAATCCCCTCAACGTGCCTCAGATACTTACTCCAGGTGTGCGTGGCCTCTAGACCTTTCCATCTGTTCTTTCTCTTCTGCTTGAATGCTCTTCTCATGGGTATCTGCCTCATTTGCTCTTTGTGCTCCTTCAGGTCCTTCTCAAACATCACCGTGAATGAACCACCTAACCACCCTAAAGGACGATCTCCACTCCTACCCTGTGCATTCTCTATTCTCTTACCCACTTTAGTTTTCTCCACAATACTTATCACAGTCTGACATACTGTAGAGTTTACCTAAGTGTTTTTACTTTCCACCTTTCTCTATATAAGCTCCATGAGGCAGGGAGCTGGGTGGCCCGTTTTGTTCACTGCTGTACTACTACTCCCTAGGAAGTGTTGGGCACAAAATAAGTATTCAATTCAATGTGAAAATGGCTGTTCAGTAAAATTTTATTCGAAAATTTTTAATTTAGCAAAATACAGCAAATATATTTTTTAAAGTAGTACTATGGAAGTGCCTACAGAGTCAAATTAGTGACTAGATGTCTTCTCTGGGTAATTAAACAACATTGACAGGTAGGCATGAGGCATGAAGTGGGATGTATTTCTTGATGAATCTGAGTCACTTCCCATAGGGATAAAACCTTCACAAATAACCCAACTTTCCATGTTTGACTTTAAACAGATGATCAACAGAAAATTAGCTGAGGTGGGGGAAAGGCATGCATTTAAGAAAAGTATACTTACTGGAACGAGGTCTCTTCTACAAAAGAATAAGTGTATATCATTAATGCAAGAGTTAATATGGTATGATACATATTCATATAAAAGCAAGTGTAGGCTTAATTTCTTTTACTCAGTCTTGTTTCTCTCTTGGTGACATTTGTACTTTCTAAATCAAGGGTTGGCAAACTATTTTCTGTAAAGAGCCACAAGGCAAATATTTAGGCTTTGTGGGCCAAGAGGTAGAATTGAGGATATTAAGTAGGTACTTATATAATAAGAGAGACCAAGTTTCCAAAAATTGTTATTAATAAAATTCAAAATATAATAATAATAATCAAAGCCTTTAGTATAGGTCTATTAATTGGAAAAATAGAATTCTTTTGTTGACAGGGGATAACATTTCTCTTAACTGGGATTCAAAGTTAGTGTTCCTTATTATCAAACAGATTGTAAATGTTCATTTGTAAAAGCCATTCTTAGCTTGTGGGCCACAGAAAAACAGGTGGCAGGCTGGATTTGGTCCACTGGTCATAGTGTGCCAACTCCTGTCTGAAATCAAGTTCAAGAAAATGATCCCCTTGGATAGATTTTCTGCCAGCTGAGGATGAGAGTAATATTCTTCACTAATGAGTTCCTATTACCCAAGTCAAATCTTTAATTAATTCAGTATTTTAAGAAAAATGTACTTACCAAGTCTCCGATAAAAATACTCAAGACAGATACTCTTTGCAAGTAGAGATAAGGATGACAAGAATTTTGCATGAGTAATCTTATCTGTCTGTACTTTCACTAGTGACCAGCAGGGGGCCTCAGCTGGATTCCATTCATAAAGTTACATTTACACTAGACTAAGATTGGAGCATCAAAGAAAAGAGCTATTAATTCACAGAGCAGCTATTCTTAATTATAGGGAATATTCTTGAAACAATGCCATGGAAACATTTCATGACACTGAATATCTATTTATAGGTTAAGTTTCATGTTAGAATGTTTTTTTAAACCTAAATTCTAAAATTAATGTTCACTGTAAAACAATGGGTCTAAAACTTGCTTATGCTATAAATTGATTTACTATTCTATGAAAACATTCTGCTTTGTACACTATTCCCAATGGACTCTATGGAGTTCTGCAGCTTTTGAGCTCTCAGATAATTTTAAAGACTGGGAGTAAAGAAATACATTAAGAGAATAAAACATCATTATTTTTTCATCTCATTCATATCAAACGTATTTTATCATCAAATGGGGGTTTGGAGTTATAAGAGGTCTAAACTCAAAAAATTAAAAACTTTGTCCAGAAGCAACTGTAATACTATTGGTTTCTAGTTTTTATTGAACAATGTTCTATACAGTTGTGCTAAAGTTGACATTCAACATTCCACTGTTCTACACTGATAAAATATTCCACTGATTTATTTCAATGGGACTTATGATAAAACTGGAAATCAATTTACATCTTGAGATATATAATTCCTGACTTAAAGGGCTCTTAAATACATGTCAATATACTATAAATATCCATGTACGTTGACTATCCGTCGGTATCACCCCATTATGCCATCCCACGGTGCCTCTCACATAGTCTGTGGTGTTTCCTGAATGTTGACTTGAGGAAGCTCTGCCTTTTCTCCCTCTGTTTGCCAAGGTGCTTCATAACTCACCTACATGTCACTTGGCACATTTTCTACTGCAGAAAAAGCAAGGAAAAATACTCTCTAGAGTTTGTTAGAGCTAATTAGGAGAAACAAGGTATTGTAAGAAAACTCTATATCCACAGGGGGTTGTCCAGTGAAGAAGGGTGAAACTCACTTACTTGAAAAGTAGCCTTTCCTCTGAGCATAGCACACGCCAAGGCCACAAACAGAAATCACTGAGGCCACAACCACCACGGCTGCTATGATGCCACTCACATTGAGATCATCTGGAACGCAAAAGAAACCAGGCATGAATTTGGGTCAAATAAATGGACAGATGTATTAAATTGAAAAAATTCAAATAAGCTCCCCTTCGCAGCTATACCATAAACATGGATAGTTTCATGCTGCTGAAGCCTGTTCAACTGATTCATTCCAGGACAAGGTTCAAAGCGGATTGAAAATATTAACGGAATTAAGTTTTGCAAGAATCTTAAATTGAAAGAAGTTCCATGATTCAGAAATAACGTGTATGGTATTCCCTTGCATTCACTTGGGGAGATAATACTTCAAAGGATCAAATATCAGATTGGAAGTGATCTTCAAAGTTCAGTGGGGTCAAGTATTCAACTACCACACACCCCCAATTCTACTCAAAATTCTTCTACACCATCATCTGTGTCAATTTTACCGATAACGGAAAACTCATTCAGCCCCAAAGAAAGCCATGTGACTCTTGTTCTATAAAGTAAGAGTCAGAAACATCTTTCTTGAATTTAATTGGGCTTGTGTGTGTGTACTTATATACACATACACACTCACATACACATATGCCATTAAACTGTCATCCCATTAAGTTTAAAATTAACTTAAACTCCCCAAGACTTTTTCCTGTTGCTATTAAGTCATCTTTCCTCTAACCTAATACAACTGGATTTTTTGGACCCAAGTTTGAAATCACTACCATGTTACCAACCTGCGAGGTTTTCTCAGATACTGATTCTGTTGTTCAAGAATTAGATTATGAACCTTCCAAGATCAATATTTATGTAATTGGAAACAGCATCAAAAAATATCCTCATTCAAATCATTAATTAAAATGATGACTATGACTTTGTTAGGGAAAGAACTATGGAACAGGCTATTACGTACCTCCCTTCATATAATAGAATTTATTACACCCTCTGGGTATGGGATCCAACTGTGTGAATCCATCCATCTAAATATTTAACCTGGGTCACATTTCTCCAGCTTGTCCTTCAGGATTTCATGAGCCACACCCTTCTGTCATTTGGATACTTCCTATGTATTGATTAATATATAAATTACCTATACTTTTTAAAGGAACAATTCCTCAAAGGGTTCTTGTTTTTTTTTAAATTTAATTTTATTATGTTATGTTAATCACCATACATTACATCATTAGTTTTTGATGTAGTGTTCCATGATTCATTGTTTGTGTGTAACACCCAGTGCTCCATGCAGAACGTGCCCTCTTTAATACCCATCACCGGGCTAACCCATCCCCCCACCCCTCTCCCCTCTAAAACCCTCATTTTGTTTCTCGGAGTCCATAGTCTCTCATGGTTCATCTCCCCCTCTAATTTCTCCCCCTTCATTTTTCCCTTCCTACTATCTCTCTTTTTTTTTTTAACATA